ATTCAAAACACATTGTATAGTTCCAGTGCAGGCGAAGGATAAGCTACCGAGTGTGGCCGTGTCAATGTGCATTTATACACTGAACTGTTCTTGTGGAGTGGAGACAGACGGACTCAGAAAGCCCACCATTGCCTTTTGTATTAAAACAACCAGTCCCTTTGATAAATTTGAATAAGGCATTAAGAAGACAAATTTCGCGAGAGGATATCGTCATTTCGTATTTTCTCTAAAATCGCTTCAAAATCGCCATGGTTCACAGTAATAAAATAAAATGCGTGACAATTACTCAGCTATATAAAACAAAAGTACATGCATACTAATGACCAATCATATTTAAATAGGTCAAGTAGTCAGGTCATGGTATGTGAAGGATGAAGTCTATTGTTCTGTTTTGTACACATAATTTAGGATGTATGTTATCAATCCCCAAGGTGCTTCCATCACCTTTGATAACCAACCTTGAATCAGAGTTATGTGATGAAATAATTGTGAAACAGTCATTAATATTGATTTAGTGACCTGACATAAATTATTGTTTTGCAATGGATGATGATGGACTTCTATTCAGATTAATTGCATTGGGATTTTCTGTGTGTCTTAATAACCATTTTGGAACATGTTCCTTTCCACCACACGACAGTGAAACATTCTATTGGTTCTACCCATATAGGTGTCACCGCAGCTGCAGATGAACTTGAAAACTTTATTACTCTATTTAATCATATTCATCCAAATATCCGAGCAATTTCCAAACTCGAATTGAATAAAAAACTCGGTTTCCTCAATATTACAATGACTAGGAGAAACGATGGAACGATTAAGCAATCTATTTTTCGTAAACAAACATGGAGTGGACTATATCTTCATTTTACCAGTTTTGTTCCTATCCAGTATAAACGTACCCTAGTGAAAATGTTTATTCTCAAGGGCCCGAAAAATATGCACGAGTGACACAGTGATGGATGAGTTTCGACATATACATTCAGTTTTATTAGCTAATTGTTACCCAGGAAACTTTATCACTTGTCAAAGTAAAGAAAGACCACATCTCGAAAAGACAGCTTCTGTACCAAAGAAAGCTATCTTCATTAACCTACCATTCAAGGGTGACCAGATTATGCAGTTGACAGCTCAAAGACTTCGGTCAACCACCAAACGTACATTCTACGCCACATCTCTTTTTCTCACGTGCCGAACATGTTCGATCCCTGTACCTACGATTAAAGGACGAAATTGTTTGGACTCTACTTCAAACTGTATCTACAAGTTCACCTGCAGTCGCGATGACATCTATATAGATAGAACTAACAGAATCTTCCAGTGTCGTGTGGTCGAAAAGAATATGTTCCTAAATGGCTACTAAATCATACAGTAAATCCCAATGCAATTAATCTGAATTGAAATCCATCAACAAAACCCACTGCAAATCACTTATTAATGTCAGGTCACAAAATCAATATTATTGAATGACTGCTTCACAATTATTTCATTGCATTACTCTAATTCAAGGTTGGTTATTGAGGATGATGGAAGCACTTTATGGATTAATCACATACAAGCAATAAAAGTTAATAAAGCAGGATTTAATGAATTCATCAAATTTCGGTAGAACTCGTCAGCTGAATACTCTACATACACGGATATATACTTTTGAAGTTACATTGGGAGATATAGGACTGAATACTTTACATACACGGATATATATAGTTTTGAAATTACATTGGGAGATATAGGACTGATAAGTAAATAAACTACATTGAATTAGTCATGCAGAAAGACAGGTGCGAATGTTTTTCCAGGTCATGTGCAATTAGATAAGGGGAGAGAGAGTATGGGAGATCAAAATTAAGATAAATTGCATTACGCTTCAATTACATCACTTAGATAAACAATTAGACATTAGAGAATTTAACAAGAATTGCAACCAGAGGGATGTCAATAGTAATAGTTATAATAACAATAATATAATATAACAATAATAATAGTGTTGAAGTGGGTTAAGATAATGCTACTGATAAAGGATAGTTTTAAATGGATCAAGAATAATAATAATGAGATTAATAATAGTAATAATAAAATAATAATAAGAGGTAGAATTATAAGTAAAACGTATTACCATGGTAGATTCAGAGTCACGACCATCTCCTTTTGTACACAGAGACCTGGTTTGTAAACTCGAATTGCACAAGCCTCTGCAATTGCAAGCATCTTCTTGTTTCTTTGTCTGCTGACAACTGTGAATGACTTGACTGCGTCAATATCGTGCCCGTAATCCACAAGATGCTTTGTTATTGAGGATTTTGGCACTTTGAACTCAGCTGTTCTCAACCATTTTGGCAAATGCTCCATCATGCGAGTAGACAATCTCCTTTCCGTACGACCTATGTATTTGCTTCCACGAACACACTCAAATCACATACAGCCTAAACTATGCGTACAAACAAAACAATAGACTTCAACGTTTGCGTACCATGAACTGACTCCTTGACCTATTTAAATATGATTGGTCATTAGTGTGCATGTACTTTTGATTTAATATAACTGAGTAATTGTCATGCATTTTATTATTGTGAACCATGTTAGTTGTAAAGCGATTGTAAAGGAACTACGAAATGACGATATCATCTCACGGAATTTGTCTTCTAAATGCCTTATTGAAATTTATCAAAGATACTAACTGTTTTACCACCGAAGAAGACAATGGCGGGCTTTCCACAAGAACAGTTCAATTTATGAATGCACATTGACTTGGTCACGCGGTAGCTTATCCTTCGCCTGCACTGGAACTATACAATGTATAATGAATTCTAGACATAGTGTTGAAACAAAAGGTGTTTTAGCTATTATTTTTCGAATTTTCAATGACAGTAATTCAGTGGCATCATGTGTATATATGCGTTTCTGCTTCCCAGTTTGCAAGCATTTCTCTCTAACTGTTCTCATCATAGAGACTTGAAGAAATTTTTCTGGATATCCTTTCTCAGATAATACGGTTTCAATTTTTCAAAGGCTATCCCTATCAAACGGTTGAAACCGAAACTATGTACTCAGAAAGAGATTATAGTTAACCTTGCACTACCGTGATGATTAAATTTACAACACAAGGCAAGCTCGTATACCGGAAGGTCCTTGGTTCCAGCCCCATCGGGTGCGTACTGTCCATGATTCCCAAACTAGGGCGGAAGAAACAGCTGTCCAGTACTCCGATACTGGTTTTCAGTTGTTCTCTAACTGATATCAGTCCGTGAGCGACTCGTAAAGAAACAAAGCTGATCCTTACAAACTAACTATAGAAGAAAATTATACACTTGTTTTACTACTTTAAATATTCCGCTTTATCTTCTGTACTGTTTAGAAGATTTTTTTTTCATCTGAACATCAATTATCTTACTATGGCTTGCATAGTTGCGTAGCCTATTTTCGTGATACACTCATTCTTGTCAAACTTTGAATTCGAAATTCAGAACACCAACAATTTCCTCCATTATGGATATATATTATTGGCTTCAACACAATGTATATCCTAAATCTGTAGCTGTCAAGTCACCTGATAACTCCACTAGGTCGATCAAAGCAGCTCAATTTTCAAAAAAGAAGACAAATCAATAAATTTGACAGGGTGTTTCAACTAAACTCCAATCCTAAACACCATAATTTTGAAAATACGTCTAATCATAAAATTCTGGATACTAACAGACGTGAAGTTGTTATGTTAGCTGATGCATGCCTAATCCTGACTAATAAATAAAAAAATGGATATGTATCACTAATAAATTATACATGGTCAAAATTCCCGATTGTCCATTTCTTCTTATGGAGAAGCTAACAAATGTTTCACAGTTGTTTCCCCAACACCATTGTATACTGCATAAACACATATCTATTTTTCATATTCACTTATCTAGGGTCATGAACTTTTAGTCGAACGTAATCACTAAAATTCTGGTGAAAAGTACACTCTGTTTAAAGTGTTTAACAAAAGCAGACTAATAATATTTGTAAGTCTCAGGTCAAATTTTGATCACAGCTCATACGATTTTATTATATATTTTGATGTCTATTTCATGACCCATATGATTGGATAGTTTAAAAAGAAACAAGATATCCTTTTTATATATAAACCTCTGTTAGGTTAATTTCGTTTAATTTCCCTGAAGAAGTTCGGATCAGTTTGCCTAACGTAGGAAACGTTGGAATTACTTATTCCAACTTCGCTGAGATTTCAAATATAATTTCTAAGTGCGGACAATATTTCAAACTTATATATATGTATTGCTCTCTCTCTCTCTCTCTCTCTCTCTCTCTATATATATATATATATATATATATAGCATACTTTCAACGACAACTGTCTTAGACGGCTGCACGCTGAAGATCAGATGACCGACCAGAAAGGATAATCAACAAGGACTCTTGGCAACAATCCAACCATAAACCTGCTGCCTAATAAATATGCAAACGGAAATGAGGATAGATAGTCCATTAGCTAAGAAGACGGCCGATTGAAACCCAAATAGATGAAAAGCTATAAAATGGATGTAGATAACAGCATGGGCAATCATAGAGCCCGTTAAGAAGAAGTCTGCAAAGAACACAGAGAAATGACAATGTACTGCTGAAACCTTATGTTCGTCCCACACGAGACCCAAGTGAATATTAATAGAACACAGAACGTGAATGTGACTTTGTTTTTCTCCACATCAGTTTTTGTTCCCTTACGTTCTAAGTGGAACATAGCACTTCAAGGTAGAGCTTTGAAGTTCCCGTGACAGTAGATTTATTTTCACCTCCCACCCAACCTTCCTTCCTTACTGACCTTACTAAAAAGCTTAGTGAGGTTTAGGAGTGTGTCCCTCGAGGGTCGAACCCCACACAACATACGTGGTTGGCCAGCGCGTCCTGTCGCTGAACCACATCATAGTTTAAGCAAAACAAATCACTAAAATTATAAACTAATTTTGATATATATTGAAATTTCCATAGAAAAGAGAAATTAGAAAACGGTTAATATTGTACAAATTTCACAAAATGTGTCAGCACTTTTGTTAAATAAGACAAAATTCACTTAGATATACAAAAAAGAAATACTAGAGAAAGAAAGACAGAGGCACAAAAATACACTCCAATGAGTATCGCGTAAGTTATAAGAGTGTTCAGTTCAATTGATTTTGTGTTCCACCAAGGGGCTTCTTCAATCAACCTTCTACTCCTTCCTCAGGCTACCCTTTACAATCGGCTAGTAAACTAACTAGGCAAGGTTTAGCAGTGCGTCGGCTGAGAATTGAACACCCAGACCACTTGTGTCGTTTAGCAAACATTCGAACACTGAACGACAAAGGTCCAAAAACTGTAGCAGAAATAAAAAGTATTCATATATCAAGAAAGACAAAAACAGACAAACAGACATTAAGTATGTACATATATCTACAACAACAAAAAAAGATACACGAACAGCTCAGCTCGTCTAGTTGAAAAAAACAACTACGATTTCGATTGTTGTTGTTCGTGATGATCACGACAGTGCTGTTTTGTTCGTTCACTTTGAGGTAGGTAATCGTCCAGGTATGCCGAAAATCCGTTTGTATTCCTCTGATGTAACCTTATGCTGATTTAACCATTGAAACCAACTCTGTTGAGATAGTGCCAGTTCATGAAATCCATCTGTAAATCGACGATGTTGATATAATCCAGTACCGAGAATTTCTTTCTCACGAAGTTGTATATGTTTCCATTGTAGACTGCGTAATCTACGCCAGTATTCATCAGCCTGGAAGAAAGATATATGTATACCTCAACGAGATTTATTAATGCAAAATTTATTAGTGCTAAATAAATATACGCGTAAAACTTGAGCAGAGTGGTTACATATATATTATTATTATTACTATTGTCTCCCTTAGTTCCTAGAGGAACATAGGGTTTCAGCCACACGTCTCTATTGCGTTCGGTTCTCTGCCAACATTTCCACCTGGCTCCACGTCTGCCCACGTCCTTTCATCTCCTCCATGTCACCCTCGCACTGACGACCAACTAACTCGCTACTTCCCATTCGGGTTCCACTCGAGCGATGACCCGGAGTGTAAGGTGACTTGATGGTTTGCTTTCTCAGAGTATGGCCAACCCACCTCCATACTTCCTGCTTATTTGTTGCAAACCTGGTTCCTGCTGGGTTGGTTCGTTCCCAGAGATCCCTGTCGCTGGTCTTTTCTGTCCATCTAATCTTGAGTAATGAGCGAAGATCGATATTTTATTTTATTTAAACGCAGAAGAAAAAACTTGGTACAATATGGCACCAAGAAAGATGCGCCACACAATAATAATAAAACAACATAGATTAAAAGTAAAAATATAAGTAGAAAACGGATACAGAAATTCATCAGGAAGGAAAACAGTCATGTTTAACAAGTTCAAACAGTATTCGTTACCTATCAGCAGGAAGGGAAGAAAGAAGGAAATTGCAACACGTTCGCCATTGATTACGATTCTTGGCCATATCCAATAACGTTTCGAGCTATCTCGTGGACCCCAACCGGGGAGTCGTGATGCACCAACCGATGCTAATCTAGCACGAATATTCTCCATTCCACGACGCCACGTCATAAACTGACCACCCCTCCGCCTTTTCCATCCCGTCCCAGGGTTAGCGAACAGAGACCTGTACGGAAGCCTCTGGGGTGACATTCGCAGCACATGTCCAAGCCACCGGATCTGGTGTTTCCAGATGACGACACTCAATGAATGGTGATCTCCACTGTGTTCAAACACACTCCGCCGAACCTCAGAATTACTCACGCGATGATGCCATCGAACGCAAGCAATCCTGCGGAGACAGCGATGATCGAACACGCAGAGTCGCCGCACATCCTCAGCTCGGAGAGGCCAGGTTTCACAGGCGTAGAGCAAGACAGCCCTCACCGAAGCATTGTATACCCGACCTTTGATAGCCAGGCTAACGTCACGACGGTGCCAGGGGTGGCTCAAGTTGATGTATACCACTCTAGCCTTCATTATACGGTTGGAAATCTCATCCGTCACTCCTCCGTCAGCACTCACACAACTACCCAGATACACAAACTTATCAACAACTTCAAGCGGTTCACCCACGAGAGTGAGTGCAGGTACAGGCTCCTGCCAATCTTGTAACAGTACCTTGCACTTAGACGGTGCAAAGCACATACCATACTTACAGACACTGATCACCAATGTACATGTTCAATGTACACTTCACTGAATAAAGAAATGAAAAAAGAGTACCAGGAAAGACAAAAGACACTGATAACTGAAGCAGAACAGGCCGCAGGTAAAAGAGTCCTCAGAACATTTTACCTGATAACCAGATCCCTATTGAATTGGTTGTGTTCTCTAAGCTGATGGTTGATTTAATTGCGAAACTTTCGTCGTCCCCCTTTGTAGACAACATCTTCAGTGCGGGTTTCAGTATGTGAAATGGACTCATTTAACTTATCCATGAATGATGTAACTGTTTTTTTCCTGATGACCACTGTCGTGAATGGTTGTTAATTTACATCTCTATTGATAGTATTTTTATTGACTTGGAATTCGAACTTTCTTGTCGTGTGATTTACTTTTTATTAGCTGGTAAATTTGGTCCATAATGCTGTGTTTGTTAATCGATGGCTGATTCCCTTGAGTATCAGGCTTCTAGGAAGTCCCTGGAATTTTTGGTATTTCCTGTGTTTAAAATTTTTACATTCTCCCAATCGAATTGGTGTCCATAATTATCCACATGCATTTGTTTTCTTGTATTCGGATTCGAAAGGAGTGCCCACCTTGATCAGTGTAATGTTTATTGCAGTTTATACAATTTATTTTGTAAATGGTAATAATAACCAGGTGTCTATCCAAGAAAAGATAAACACAGAGAAAACCTATCAAAGATGGTCAAGAAAACCCCGATTACCAAGGAGGAGAAACAAATAAAACAATAGGTTGATCACTTCAAAGGACTCTTGAATCGACCATCACCTGCAACTCATCCAGATATATACCACCAGCAGCACGCACAGAACCAAAGCAGAAATTACAGGATTTCATCTTGAGCTGATATTGGTTAGAGAACCATTGGGAAACCTGGGAGTACTGGACAACTGTTTCGTCCTAGTTTGGAACTCTTCATCGGTACGCGCCAGCTGGGGCTCGAACCCAGGACCTTCTGGTTACAAGGCGAGCTCGTAAACCATTAAGCCACTGGAACCCAATCCAATGGCCCATGAATTCTAACTTCTGCCAATTCACGATATAACGCAACCGCTAGCCAATGCCTTCGGTGAGTATTTGTCCTCACACCCGACCTGCTGCAATCCAGGTAAGTAATGTTGACGTTAGGCATAGAGTGTTAGGCAAAGAGGGAAAATCAATCGAAGAGGCTATAAGGTTACATAGATTGAGATGGTTAGGTCACGTGCTGCGCATGCCTAGCCATCGCCTCCCCCGACGGACGGGCATTACTAGCTGATATAGGTGCAGGCTGGAAAAGAGTAAGTGGTGCCATGCCAAACAAAAACATGGCATCAATCCATGAAATCCCTGACAGTTAAACTGAGTCAGGTAGGGAGGGAGATGCAGACTTCCGGGTTGGGGCCCTCGGGACTCTAAGAATCAATGACTGGAGACAATAGGTGACATGGCTCAAAATCGTTGTCAATGGCTTACGCAGATGTATTCAGTCTCTTTAACCTTCATATTCCTTTCTACCATTACTCATTCTGTTTCACTCTTATACTTATCTAAATTCTATTGATTCTCTTCTCTCATTTTCCTGTCTATCTTTGTGTGCTCTTTGGAACGTGGCAACTCAAACTGCTGCACCTCGGTGCCAAGTTCTATGTTGAATCCAGCAGCAGCAATCCAGCTACTGAAATTCAGGAAGGTTTCAGGATCAGATAGAAGAAAACTGAAAACGGACACACAGAGTGAAGTGGATATGCTAACGGCATTATTGCGAAAAATGTTTGGAAGGAAGGAAAGGTGCCTACCGATTGGAAGAAAGGCTACTTTATCGAAAACTATCAAAGAAGAACGACTTACGGCTGTGCAACAACTGGTGTAGAATAATGATCTTCTCCGTGCCTAGTAAAATATTAAGTCACGTCATCCTGGAGAGAATAAAGGATGCACAGGATGCAGAACTCCACCCTACCGCTCAGAACGACCTGGATTCAGGTAAGGTAAATTATGTGCTGATCAGACTGCAACTCTACGCATCATCATCATCGAACAGAGCATACAATGGCAATCAAACCTGTACCTCAACTTCATCGGCTTCGAGAAGGTCTTCGACGGCGTTGACCATGAAGTAATTTGGAAACTATTTCAACATTATGCAGTACAGTGCCGCAAATCTTTATCAACTTCATTCAACAGTTATGTGACAATCCCATATGTCAAGTGAGTCACAACGGAAAAGTCAACGAAGTCTTTGAAGTGAAGACAGAAGTAAGACAAGGCTGCCTGTCTACTATCACCAATGATATTCGTAGTTCTGGTGGACTGGATTGTGCGGCAAACTGTGAATGAGGACCGAGAAGACAGGAATAAATCGAGCCGATAAGAAGACTCTGAAAGATTGGGGCTTCGAGAATGATTTGTGCTTAATTTCACACAAATTCGAGATTTACTGGCGAAAATCAACTTGACAGACAGAGGACAGATTGCAGGTGAATATAGAGAGGGCGGAGGTGATGACGATAACCAACTAACAGCATCAAACACTAATAACGAAATTGATTTGAAAGAGGTTACTTCCTTCACTTATCTAGGAAGCATCCTGTCAACCACAGTCGGAACCGATGAAGATGTCGCACGACCAGAATTGGAAAGTCAGGGTACAACTTCATCAATGTGAAACCAATTTGGAAATCTTTGGCTGTCACTTAGCATACAGAACAATATTCTGATTTTCACCACCAATGTGGGAGTCAGTCAGTTCTTCTATACAGGTCAGAAACTTGACGCATCGCAAAAAGTACTTCCAACAAGCTTCGGCGGAATTTTAACAACTACGGCCTTCACTAGCTCCATACTGAAGATCAAATGGACGGTCAAAAAGCATCACCAACAATAAACTATGGGAAACCTCTCGTTCAACTAATATGTAGGAGAAAGTGGAAATGGATAGGGCACAGGCTGAGAAAACTGGAAAACCACGAGTGGGTTGTCCAAAAGTGATATGGAGGAGATGAGAATAAATGGGCGATCGTGGGCCAATCCAATGAGGATAGCAGAAAATAGAACAAAGAGGAGATGGGTTTTTGAAGTCCTATGTTCTAATTGGAAACCAAGGGAATAATAATAATACAGCTTGATAATAAATTCTTCAGAAAGAGTCTCTACAAAAGCTGAATAAGAAACCTACCTTCATCCAACTCGATTTTAAAGGTGACAACAATGCAGGAATTATCAACAGAAGACTGAACACACTCTTTTAACCAGAACTTACCAAGCCTGAAGACAAAATGGTTGCCGTTTATCCAATAATAAACACTTTGGTGCAATCAAAAGTTAACTCCCATTGTGTATAAAAACAAATTTACATGTATCTGCAAAAGGGGTTACATTGGAAGAATAGAAAGAAGGGCATACCTCCGATTTTCTGAACATGTACCGAAAAGCCTACGTCTCAAGGGAACAAACACTCTGAACAGTTCCATTGCCAGACATGTCCTTAATACGGGTCATGAGATGGATATCGCAAGATCCTACAAAATTATCAATAGAATAGACAGAATAGCTCAATTCTGCTCAAGT